TTTGTCCATTCCTTAACTGATTTTAAAAATAAAATTTGTATAGTTGATCCTGGCTCGATCCACAATTAATCTATACTTTAGTGTTAATTTCTAAAGGTTGGTTAATACAGGAATTTTGTTTTGTATCCTTCAAACCAAACCATATAGTTCAAATTTGAAATTTCAATCAATATCAATGCTATATTATTGTTCTTATGCCATCTTGTCAATCTGTAATAATTAACTATTGTAATGGTGAATCCGTTTATTAAATAAATAAATAAAATAAATAAATAAATAAATAAAACACTGAAAAATTGCCACTTCCGGTTCGTATGCCGCCCTTGGGGACTGACCTAGGCGTATGCAAACCGGCAAGCGCCCCAATTTTCTTCAATTCTTAAACAAAATTTTGAAATTTTTTCGAACCGAAATATGAGGTCAGGGCCGGGGCAAGGACTGGATAGCGACTCTCCGAGGCATTCCTTCCTGTTAACTTGGACTAAGTGAGTGGGTCCCTTAAATGGCATACCGACTTAGAACATCGATAAACCCTGTGTCGCAGGCCAACAGTCTATAAGTGAATTTGAACAAAAAAAAAAAAACTAGAAAATGACATTTGTCATCATTTTGTCATAAAATTATCAAAATCGACTATAACAAGGATTTCCCTGCATCTCTCCCTAGTAAATTGAATTCAGAGGGTGAAAACTCTCCTGGAAGACCATATTTAACAGCTAAATATCCAAGAAGTCCAAATCAAGACAATGGCATGAGAGATTTTCACATTTGCTCACAATATCTACGGGAATGTGAAAAATCGACTTATCAATTTGAAGAAAAACTTGGAAATGAAAATAAAAAATGTGAAATATGTTCAAATACAATACAACATAATGAAACATATTTATATTGTGACATCAGGTGTATGAAACATTTCCACAGAGTGCCTGAATATTTTCCCACTTCAATTTCAACGAATATCATCTCTGAAAGAACTCATCACGTGGTTTTGTGAAGCTTGTGAACCACTCATGAAGAAATTGTTGAGGATAGTAATACAAATTCCAAAATGCAGTATTCAAGAGTTGTTGAATCCAAGAAGAGTGAATTGACAACAAAAACAAATTAACAAACTATATATCTGCAGAATCTGCAGAAATAAACAATGAAATCATTAAGAATAAAATAAACCTATTTTAAAAACCTTTTGATTATTCTTTCAAAATTCTCTTTGAACATTATAACATTTTTACTGTTGATCAATTGTATTATAAAACATCAACAATATTCATTATAAAATATTAACAAAACGATGATATAAAACATGAATATTACACCAAAAATGAAATTGATGGTTGGATATCCACTGAGCAATTCTCTACAACTATAATGCAACAACATGCCATTCATTTAGACAAAAAAAATACAATTAATTGCCTCCTTCGAAAAACCTCAGTTTTTTTTTGGATTCAAGAAAAAAATAAAATCGTGGTTGATTGAGAATTCAGAAATTTTGAAAATTTGTTTGAATATAAAATAATACTCATGCAACATATCATATTTTTATAGTTATTTATAGTTATAGAAAATGAATTTTAGTTTTTTAGTTAGTGGAAGGAAAAAGAAATACATGATCATGAACAAGTTTTACTTTTTTGATCATGTTTTTATTTAAAAAAATTCACATTACTATTAATATAGTATGCTGAAATGTATGTTATTTTGAAAAATGAATAAAAATAAGAGAATAAAAATAAATATTTTCTGTACTTATTTTGTTTGATCAAAATTTTTTTTAACATTATTTTGGAATTTTGGTTTTAGTAATTCTAAATGAATTATAGTGCGCGTTATGCCACTGATCAATAGATGTGCAAGGTCAGCAATTGGGGTGTCTGAATTCAATTCAAGTTCTTTGCCATCAGATAAGCATATTTTTGATTTCCAAGCATGTTTGACAGCGCTCTCCGCCTGTCCATAATTTCTAGGATATTTAGGAGAGCTTGTTACTATTTGAAAATATCATAATTTTGAGAAATTCTCGAACTTTGAATTGAATGGCATGTTATCTCCAACAATTTGGTGAAAAGGCTGCTAAACCTTATCAAGGTAGCGAACCTGTTCACCTAAGACATCAGCATGATCAGGAATACAATAGGCCCAAACTGCAGTGTTTTGGGCTTCGAACCCTGACTGATCATTCTGCCATCAATCAATCTATCTCCAACAAGAATTTTTGGAATTCCAATGGTTGAAAATACACCTTTTAGTTATTTTATTATGGTGGATGCTGTTTCCTTCACCAGAGGCAGGTATTCTAACCATTTTGACTAATAGTCTTGTATCAACAGGTAATTTTTCCCACATATTCTAAAACATCCACTCCTTTTTTGTTAAATGAGAGATCTGATATGTCAAAAATTGTACATTATTTATGGAGGTTAGTATGTCTGAGGATAAACTTGGCCAATAAGCGACCTGTCTAGCCCTACTTCCAGTTTTCTAAATTCCTAAGTGTGACTCTTGCAACAATTGAAGCATATACTTTCCTAATATCGTTGGAACAATAATTATGTCTGTCTGAATAGCATAGTTTGCTATTAACTGACTTTTAATATCAAGTATTCTTTTTGTCCAATCCTGCAGATAATATTGCTTCAGATTATACAAAACTAGATCATTTTAAATGGAAGAGCAGTTGCCTTTCTCCTTGGAAAGAGGTGACTGAATTCCGCCTTTTCTTTATTGAATAAAGACATTATTATTATTATTATTATTATTATTATTATTATTATTATTATTATTTTAGTTCATATAATTCCAGTCACGACCCTGCGGCCTCCGACGTCTCGCAGAGTCGTGCTGGATAAAATCCAGTGACTACTCCTCACAGCCTACGAGGTGAGTAATCACTGGGACCAAGTACCGTGTGCCCTGAGTAGACGCAATGATCCTAGTATGACGGCCTTCTGCATTCCACCAGCCAGGATGTGTGCCTTATCATGGCACGCTGGGATTTTCTGGATTTCCGAGAGCAGCGTGTGTCGTGTGCCTCCTAGGGAGCCGATAATCAGGATGACCAATTCCACAGAATGGTCTGGATAGAGCCGGCGGAGTTCGAAGAGAAGATCTCGATATTTAGTCCGTTTCTCCTCCTCCTTCAAAACGATGTTCGGTTCGGCTGGCGCCGAAAACTCGATCACGAACATCGCTTTGGTTTGATGGTCGAGGAGGACTACATCAGGCTTGTTAGCTTGTATTTGCCTGAGGGTGGGGAATGAGAAGTTCCAATAAATTCGGCACCTCTCATTCTCCACAACGGACTCAATATCCCCCGGAGCATAGGGCAGCACTGGGGTCTCGTCTATTCCGTACGAGTGCCTCAAGTGGTAATAGAGCACTCGCAATGCCGCATTGTGTCTATGGATATAGGCCGAGACTGCATACACCGTGCAAGAAGACAGCAGGTGCATTATTGTCTCGGGCGCCCTGCGGCAGGCCCTGCAATTTGTGTCAGGGACCTCTATACCCATGACACGGCTACGGTAGACGAGAGTGTTGAAAACCCCATCCTGGCATGCCATGATGAACCCCTCTGTTTCCGATTTGAGCCCGCCTGACTTAAGAAAAGCGAAAGTCAGTTCTTTGGATAAGCCCCGGTCTTCAATGGTCTTGAAGTAGACCGAATGCATGGGCTTATCCATGTGAAGCTGCAGGAGCTTTCTCACTTCTGCAGCTTCAGAGACAATTCATCGGCTGCTCGACGTGCTGCCCTAAAAAGAAAAGCTCCTACTCCTGCCTCTTCATGGGTTTTAACCATTTGCAGAAGGGGATCCGAACTCCTGATGACTTTGCAGGCGCCATCCAGAACCATTCTGTTATGGAGATACTCCAAGCTCAAGAGTCCACGGCCACCCTGGTCTCTAGGTATGTATAACCGTGGAACGGACGAATTTGGATGCAGACTCCTATGGAGATGCATCATCTTACGAGTACTTACGTCAAGTTGTCGCAGCTCGACTTGAGTCCACTTTATCACTCCGAATGAGTAAAGTAGGATCGGAACAGCAAGCATGTTAGTCGCAGCGACTTTGTTCTTCCCCGACAGTTCTGACGACCAGATCTGTCGGAGCCGCTACCGATACTTGCTGCGGAGAGCGTCTTTTACCCGTTGTGCCTCCTGGATGTGAGTTTCCTCTACACCCAGGTAGGTGTACGTCTCTCCGGCATCCAGGTGGTGTAGGATGCTTCCGTCCACGAGCTGCGCGTCCTTGTCGTAGTTCTCGCATCGTCCTCTCTTGAGATGAACCAGTGCACATTTGTCCATCCCGAATTCCATTCCAATTGCCTGCGTGTACTCCTGCACCACCCTGAGGGATTGGTCCATATCCCTCTCACCAGAGGCATAAAGTTTGAGGTCATCCACATAGAATAAGTGACCTTATGCTCCGGTAACTGGGTGGGCCGCAGTTGTATCCCCTGGTTTTCCTGAGCTCAACGGATAGTGGCAGAAGTGAGATGCAGAATAGGAGAGGGCTAAGGGAGTCCCCTTGAAATACTCCTCTCCTTATGATGCCTGGCTCTGTTTGGACTCTCGCTTCACCTGATGTTATGGTAAAGCGGGTCTTCCAGACCAGCATCAGTTGTTCTATGCATCTCACTATAGGATCGGGTACCGAAAGACACTTGAGCAAGTACACGAGTAACTCATGTGACGTTGTGTCAAATGTGTCAATTATTATTATTATTATTATTATTATTATTATTATTATTATTATTATTATTTGCTGTGGCTTCATTGAATTCAGCTCGTTTGTCATTAGTTCTATTCAATCCCCAGCTAATTGAATGAATTATCTCCGATATCTACTGGTCATCTCTGACTGTATGAGCATCCTTTATGTATCCTCGAGATAATAGGTCTGTGATATACATAAAACATACTGAAGAAAATGTGTTCTAGAATAGAATAGCTTTTCGATCAAATGACTAATTTTGTGTTTTCCTTTATTTTTCAGGATCTAGTACAGCAGTTTCTATTCCAACCTCCATTTTGGATCACAATTTACCAAGCACATTCACTATCGCTACATGGATGAGACATGGTCAACATCCTAATCAAGATAAACACCTGAAAGAACATATTTTATGTACTGCTGATGATCACAGTAAGTCTCTGAACCAAAATAAAATAGAGAGCACAATAAATAAACTAGACAAATGGTTTCATAATAACAACCTCATTTTGAATTTAGGAAAAACACAGATTATTCATTTTGGAAAGCAGTTTGTAAACCAATCAATACATTACAAAAAGTATAGAAGTTGTAGCAGAATCATTCATATCATTTCTAGGCATTACAGTTGACCACAGATTAGATTGGAAAGATCACACAGGAAATCTAACAGAATGCTTACCAAAATTTAGTTATGCACTAAGAATACTGTCACAATCAGTAAGTTCAGACGTATCGTTTATAACATATTATGCATATGGGCAATCAAAAATCAGTTGGATTGATATTTTCAATCAATACATACTCACAGGATATTGATATTGCAGAAACGAGGAACAAGAAATATATTCTAGATGAAACAACGAGGAAGCTGTAAAACATATTTATTAATCAAATAATACTAAAAGTGATAAGTTTGTATATTCTAGAGCCCGACTTATTTGTAAAAAAGAACTTTTACTTATTTGAAGACTGGTAGATCATTATAAAATATGTATATATACAAAAAAAAATTCATCACTCAACGGTGTCGCGTCAATTGGACGTGGAAAATTGGACGCACGACTATTGGTCGCAGTCAATTGGACGCGGCAACAATTGGACGCGGCGACAATTAGACGCGGCGTCAGCTAGACGCGGCGACAATTCGATGCGGCGACAATTCGACGCGGCGACAATTGGACGCATGCGTAAATAAAAATAATTTTATAATTCCAATGAAATTCATTGTATAAAATATGAAATACTGATGGGCTTATATCCATAATTATAACAAATACCTGACAGGTTAGGTTAGGTTAGGTATTTGTTATATTATAGATATGAGCCCTGCATATTCCATGCAATAAATTTCATTGGAATTATAAAATTATTTTTATTTTCGCATGCGCTCAATTATCGCCGCGTCCAATTTTCGTCGCGTCCAATTGTCGCCGCGTCCAATTGTCGCCCCGTCCAATTGTCGCCGCGTCCAATTGTCGCCGCGTCCAATTATCCGCGTCCAATTTTCGTGCGTCCAATTGACCACGTCCAATTGTCGGTAATCCTCACTCAACAAAACAAATCTGGAACAAATTACCTGAAAATTTCGGAAATATGGAGTACTACCAACTTGAAAAGAAACTCTTCTCCATGAAACATACTAGGAATTGGTCGACATCATTAATGACGATCTAACTGTAACTTCAATAGTACAAAATACCACATGAACATGTAATGTTATTGTGTATTTTATTGTGTCTTTCATTGTGTCCTTTTGAAATGTAGAAATGTAAAAATATATCTATCTATATATACAGTATTTACAATCACTGATTCCGTCAAACATGCTGCTATAATTTTCATTGAGTAATTGGGGCTAACTGAGTAGTGAAACATCATAATTCAAATTGTTTCGGCATTCTGCATGACTGTCCCACTTCCAACTCCCTGTAGGTCTGCGTCGATCTTCGTGAAGCTGCATAGGTACACAATGGGTTTTCCGCTTATGTATCGCTTTGTCTCAATCGTACGGCTAAGATATAAGAAAATGAAGATGATCCAATCCTCTGCAAAATTGTTGTTTTGTTAATATTTCCGTTGATCTCATACTTCTGAAGTAGTAGGTTTTCGCGCGAAAATGCCCGATGTTGACATATGCAGTAGAAATCGGTTCATGCTCACTAGATGTGAATTAATGATGATATTTATCAAACATGTGTCGATTGTGTTAATCCAATCATTTCATCTTTGGATTTTGTTGGCTGTTCTTTCCTAAACTGGTTATCCTGTGTCCAAGTTTTACTGGAGGTCGATGTTCGTCACAGATGATTGACTCTCAGAATCAGTCATTTTGTTGCATGACTGATCAGGACAGCTTCTGCATTATTGAGTAACCCATTCAAGTCTTCCTGCAGCTAACTCCTGGATACCCTTGTTCTCTTGCACAGGATGTCAATAATGGTTGTGGAAGCAGGAAAAATTCGCAAGATTGTGGTTGAAAAAGCATGAAATGGCCTGACACATATTCCCACGTCTCCTTTGAGTACAAACAAAGATATAAAGCTCCCTATAAATAGTTACAGACAAAATGGACACTGAAATGTGTCAAAGCCAGTCCTGCACCACCAATATTAAGATTGATCAGACGAATGTCGGTGTCGGTTCGAGCCATCAACTGCAGAAGACATCAAAATGACTGATACTGAGAATTAAAATTTTATGATAGACAACGGAGGTGTTCAACATCCGTAGTTTTATACATTATCGTACAACTTGAAATGAGCCTGTTTCAATAAAAAAATGTATTTCATTGTTCTGAAGAACTAACCCAAACTATTTCACTGTTGCAAACAGTTTTTTACTCATAGCTCTGCACATCTTCTGAATAACTATTGAAATTCACGATATTTCATAACATGAAGAACGCGGAAAAACGCAAAGTTGAACGTGACCAATCCAATGCAACGAGGTATGATATGACTTTGTATTGTGTATATCCCAGTACTCCCCTACATTCGGAGTAAATTCTTTCTCTGAGGTAATTGTCTTCATATGATGCTTGTCGTATATCAAGTCATCAAGAAGAAGGGAAGTACTTATTATAATTTTAAATAACGGTGTGGCTTTCTCTATTGGTGTAAATTTTCGAGTCATATGAGACAAATTTTGTAAAACACCTTGAGTAGGCAACACTGAATCAACGATTCTTGAATATATTTTGAGTTTATATAGTTTGATTTTCCAAAGTTCCCCTTCAGATGTTATTTCACTCTAAAACTATCAATAACATCATCCACCAATTACTCTACTACCAGTATTGGGAAAAACATGGAGAAAATATTGAGAAATCGTATACAACAAATAAACGTCAATATTCCAAGATACCAATTTGGATTCAGAAATGAATGCTCTACTCTGCTTCCTCTTAGCCTACTCACCAACAACATCGAGGCTGGCAAATTTAAGAAAAAACAGCTGCAGTATTTTTAGATATAAACAAAGCCTTCGACAGTGCATGGCACAAGGGTCTCTTATATGAACTGAACCAATTAGGATGCTCCAACCATTTAATTTTCCTGATCAAGAGTTTCCTAACAAACCAGAAATTGAAAGTGAAAGTTGTCAAGTCTTTCAAATGAATTGACCCCATAAACAAGACTTACACAGGGCTCTCCACTGTCTCCTCTATTGAACAATGCAACATGTGCATCTATACTCACGCCACTAACGATCCACAATTATTCCCCATGCCAATGTACATATTCCAATATGCAGACGACACAGCTTTAGTTTCAGATGGAAAATCACTTGCCGAAACCCTTCAACAAATGGAGACTAGAACCCAATCTAACGAAATCCCATTTCATCATTTTCAACCATCACCTTTCACCATCATCGCCTACCATCATTTTTCATCGGCACAATCTTCATCCTGAATTGCAAGTCAAATACCTAGGAGTTACGTTCGACAATAAGATGAGTTTCAACCAACATATAACCTGAAAAAAGAATGATATGATCTCAAGAGCAACCCATTATCTTAGGAAATTGACATATCAGAAGAAAGGAAAATATGACAACATCAAGCAGTATTTATAAAATGATATATCGACCAATGATAGACAACGCCCATGAGGCATTCTCGAACTGCAAAGCAGGCACCATGAAAAAACTACAAGTGACTGAAACATTTGCAATCAGAAAAATAACTCAAATGTGCCACCCCAACAGGCCGCTTCATAATCCACCTAACCCACTGCTCAATGAAATTACTGGCGTAAAACCCATACCTGCACGAATTAGCTCAGAGATTCTGTCAGAAACAAAACAACATGGATATACTACAAGAATTCTGCATCAGAAGAAACCACAGGTACAGGCCATAAACAAACACCCAGAAGACTCGCTCATTGAAATACTTCTACGATTGGTTTAACAATTTTATCTTATCAAAAATTGAATACATTTTTTTCACAATCTTCAGTGATTATTTAAAAGAAATCAAGTAGGACTGATAGTCATATTATTAGTATAAACTCAAATGCTGAAGGACCTAGGTCGATAGCAAGTAGAATTGAGTAATAATGATTGTATAGCATGCGTATTCAATTCAATAAAGAAGGATCATTATTATTATTATTTGATACGTTGATAAATTTGATGATAGTGTAGGAAAATGAGTCACTTATATTATCAGGCAAATTTTCTCAAATCTTTGCATTCCAAGATGCAAAGCGTAAGTGGCAGAATAGTTAAGCACCAAATGGATCTATAAAAAAATTTTGAATGCAACATTTAAAAATGAGAAATTACGTTTTGTTTTCGACAATAATGAAAAATTGCTCTCTACAAAATACTCCATTTGGGAATAGAACAGAAAACATCCAACAAATCATGAAAAAGATCCACTGTGATATGTCCGATGACAATCATAATGAATAATTATTACAATTCTAAATTTATAATTTTTCATGAAATCATCGAGTCCTATGAAATAATGCCAGACATCTATATTTTATACAGGACTTCATTTTCATACTGAACCATTTGGGCCGGTATGTGGAAGAAAACAATATATTAGCAAAAAACACAAATTTGTACTTTTGCAGACTCATGGATATCTACGTAGGGAGCGGGGATAACCTGAATTCTCACTAATGGGTTACGTGCATGAACTGTCAGATGACCGACCCTGGAGGTGAAACATTGAAACACAACCTCACTTTTCTTTTTTGTTTCAAATGATTGAAATAGTTTTTCACAATTATTTTGGCATACGAATCGAGTTTTTCGACTATTCATAAATTCGCGCATACCATCACATTGTGCTGTTGTACAATGCACAAAAATGAGGCGAGAGACGAAGGAATCCGGTTTTAAAGTAAGTACCTACTATAGTCACTCACATATAGTTTTCATTTTGAAATATGGTAATTTCTCTGATTTCTCATCGGAATCCCTTCTGCAATAGGACCTAATAGCAATTTCTAAAAGAATGCAAGAAGATTGGATTCATGCAATCAAACGAGAGGACTAGTCTGATATGCTGACGAAATATCATCGTGTGTTTTGTAGACATTTTCAATCTATTAGCAGTATCAGCTTCTATTGCAGAAGTGGCAGAAGGAATTTCAATAAGAAATGACCAAATTTTATAATGAAAAATATGTAAGATTACTATTTACCTGAAAAATCACATTCCTTCGTCTCTCGCTGCATTGTTTGTGTATTGTACAACAGCACAATGAGAAGACCTGCTTGAATTAATAAAACGCACGAAAAACACGCCAAAATATTGTGAAAAACTATTTCAATCCTCTGATTCCTCTGTAAACAAATAAAAAAAGTAAGGTTGTGTTTCAATATTTTACCTACGGGGTCGGTGATCGTGCACTCGACCTATGGCATTCTAATGAATTGATTCTACCTGTCACCAGACTTATAGTAATTAATGATTTTTTTTATATCCAGAAATGAATAGGCACCATTATGCCCTGTTCGTTAGAAACTGCAGGTTGATTCTTCTACTCAGACGTGATTTCTCAGAGGGTGATCTGAATATCTTCAGGCCTGCAGAATGGAGGTGGAAGATTTCACAAGTGGGTAATTCAGTATCAAAAATGCAGACTTGTATGACTTAATTCAATTTTTAGGTATGTGATGATCAATGGCACCACTATGCTATCAATATTCGTTTTCCTGACATCCAACTCTACATTGATGGACAACTATTCCGAAGCGAGAAAAAGAATCCAGAAGTAATTGATGACTGGCCACTTCATCCAACAAGTGGAATCAATACTACTCTTACTGTGGGAGCCTGCTGGCAGGTAATTCTTGAATTCTCTGCAATTTGACTTCTTCAAATCCATAATACATAATAGGTAACAACTAAATCGTCTATAAAAACATCCAGAATAAATTGATCCCAGTAAACCGGTATCTTCACTGCTTCTTAGCAGCTCTCTAGGAAAATTGAAAATTGAAGCATTCTCTGAAAATCCTGGTTAATCTTTCTTTTCTGTTGCGTTTGTATTCACACAACAGTCATAATCTATATTTTATTCATCTTCCTCCTCTACAAAGATAGCTAGCTTGCCGTGTGGCATGTCTGGCTTTGTTACCATACTCTTCTCTGGGTTTCCGGGAGTCTCCTCTTCACCAGCAACTTCTAAGATCAAAAATAGGGAAAAAAGTTTCGATGACTTTGTGACGAGAAATGTTTTCTAAGGGAGCTACGGCCCCCTGAAAATGATATTTCTTGAGTATTTTTGAAATAATATAATAAACTTTCCATGCCCAATGCAGTGAACATGATATCATTTCCAAATATCAGTCAGGAGTGTTTAATACAGGGTGGGACTATATTAAATATTGCTCAAAATTTCTTGTATGCATATTTTTAGACAATTTAGTCTCAGATTATGAAAATTCACACCACTTCACAGAATAAAGGTACTCTTGTTCAAAAATGATATATCTGATCGATGCGGAACAAGAGCACCTTTTTTTGTGAAACGGTGTGGATTCTCATAATCCGAGATTAAATTGTTGAAAAGTGTGTATACAAAAAAAATTTGAGCAATGGAGTCCCACCCTGCATTATACACTCCTGAATGAAACTTTGGAATGATTTTCACGTTCACCGCATTGAGCATGGAAAGTTTATTCTTTGTATCAATTTGCATCATTTTATTTCAAGAAATATCATCTTCAGGAGCCCCTTAGGAGACATTTCTCGACCCATATTCGTTTGAACTTTTCTTCCTATTTTGGGTCGTGGAAGTCGCCTTTGACTTTGTATGTGGTTGGTGTGCACACTATGCTTTCTATGTTGATTGGAGATGGCTCCTTCTTACATTACATACATTCTGATACAGCTCGTTGCAGTTTTGTATGTTCTCTGGGCATTCTAGTTGTATGTATTGATCCCACTTCTCCGCACTTGCATCTAGGGCTTTCCCCAACTCCTATTATGTATAGGTGTTCGGGTACACTGCAATGAGATGATCTCATTCTATCAAATGTTACTATGTCTTTTCGGTTGATTCCTTTAATATTTTGAAGCATGGTTGTGATAGTCTTTTCCCTTGTTTTTACATACATCCTCCCATTTCTCAGGCCATTCCTCCCATATGTATCTCCATTTGTGGTATGAATTCCCTGCTGTCCAGCTTCATTTTATTGTATGCCTGAAGTTTTCTTTCTTTTGCTTCTAATCCATCTGCTTCATTGTTTCCTTTTATACTTGTGTGGCTAGGTAGCCACATGAACATGTTTATTCCTTCCATATTGGCTTGTATGATTTTTTCCCATAATCCTATCTAATCACTTTTACTATATAAACCCATTTTAGCTATTTTCTGTACTGCCGACATGGAATCTGTAATTATTAATGAATTTTCAACCTTCATTTCTATCATTCGCCATGTATATGGCTATCTTTTTGGTGTACATATATTTGTATTGTTTGGGAGTCTCCATTTTGGACATATTCGAGTCCTTGAAGTATATTCCCACTCCTGTTCTCCCTTCTTCATCCATTGTCGCTTCCGTCAATACTCTTTCCATCGGGGCTCTGCAACGAAATAGCGCTTAACAAAACAGCGCGTGACAAAACAGCGCTGTAACAAAACAACATGTAACAAAATAGCGCTGTAACAAAATGGCGAGTTCTGAAATAGCAGTAATTTCAAGATGATTATGAATCATAAAGAGCATATTCAATTCAACTCTTTATTGGACTCTAACAAACAAGTCTCTGAACATAAAAATAAAATACCTAAATTGTAGGCAATAGTCTGCAAGTAATTTTCAATTTGGTCGAAGTTATAATTTCTCACTAATCCTTTTAATCCATTGTTGAGCTGCACATATTTGCTTATCATTATTATTTTTATTATTCCCCTTTTCATGCCTGAAGCCACATTCGAAGTGTGTGATGAAAATTTCAGCCTGATAAGGCTTTTTTCAAAGATGATTAATCAACTTATAAAGTGATGGATGGTGGCAATCAAATGAATGTTGGAACTCATTGTGCCAAGCTTCTGAAGAGATATTTATTTTGTTCTGGGCAAATTATTTTGTATGCATTCACATAAATTTCAAGTAGGAACAGGAAAATGAGATTTCAATTTCATTAGTTTTCTTCCCACATCATTTTTCCACTGATTACAGATAATAGGTGACTGTTTTCAAATTGAAACATGAATGATGTATCTATGGTACTATTCGAGTATTTCTTTTTCACAGCAAAGACGCAATGACTAACTCACTTGTTAAGTTGGATAATCAATCCTTGATAAATATGTAACATGGCTGGTGGGATATGTTTGAGATGTGAAAACATTTAAACATTTGAAATAACAACGAAGATGAGCGCTATTTCAGAACGCGCTCTTTTGTTACAGTGCTATTTTGTTATGCACTGTTTCGTTACAGTACTGTTTTGTGCGCGCTGTTTTTTTCGTGCTGCTTTGTCACGCAGTGTTTTGTTTGCAGAGCCATTGATGACATATGTTGGTTAAATTCCTGTTCATTTGAATGATGGGTTTTGTCTAGTTTTGAATTGTGGTGTTTCATTTCTGTCAATTGTGGGTAATATTCATAATTGTAGCATGGTAAGGTTGTATATTTTTTGATTTTGTGTATGTCTGTCATACATACGTTCATTGCTCCAAGTATTGGCGGAGTGCAATGATTGTCCCAGTATTTGTTACCTTCTTGATACATTGTGAAGAGTTTTAGTATACTTGTATATGATGTTTCATATTTCATTATATTTGATTTATGATTTACATCTTTTGTTAGTCTTCTTTTACGAAAAGGTAACTTTGCAGTTTCTGCCAATAGAACATTTGTGGGGGTAGATCACCCCCTGTTATGACCCTGGGTGCCTAATACTGAATTTTTCCAGTCTATTGTACTTCATGACTACTAGCATTCCATAGTCCAAGTGCATTGTTACTATGATATTCATCGGACAATTCATTGGATCAGCTCCCCACCATGTTTGTGTTATGGAGCTCATGATTTTTTTAATACCTTTTTGTGCTTTAGCTGCCAATTTATCAATGTGCTGTTTCTACTTCTTATCAAAAGTTACTCCCAAGTATTTGTGACTGTTTACCCATTATATTTTTTCGTTGTTGTAAATTATGTCATCATTTTGTCTCCCGACTTTCCCTTTTGAGAGTTGTATAGCAGCCGATTTTTCTGTAAATAATTTCAGTTTTTTTCTTAAGATTTCTTATCATGCTGTATGTAAATCCATCCTTTCCTGGACTGCTATCTTTTCTGTCTTTCAGTGCTGTTTCTAATTCATCAGAAAATGTGTGAATGTATCTATTTGCTTTTGGTTCATTTCTGGCACTCTGATTTTTCCTGGTATTGCTGGTTTTACTAAGGTTTCTGAGTGTAGTGATGGAGAATGTCATTAATAAAAGCATTTTCAACTGTACTTGTATCTCCCGTCTTGGACGATTCCTAACATTTAGGTTTGTGAACTTTATATTTTCTTTTCTTACATTGCTAGGTAAAACATCGACAGCATAACATACATTCGAGTCTGAAACAAAAGTCTTATCATCAATCTTTGAATCAAGTCGAACATTTTCACCCATACTCTGTTTATTGTGATCTTTGGAACTACTAGTACCTATCAACATCAGGTATAACTGGCACACCAGGTGACGCCGGAATATTCGATACAATTGATATATCAGGTATATTCCGTTCATCAACATGATTTTCAAAAACATCATTTCCCAAATCACATTTATCTTTCAAGTTTGATTGAGATGTATCTTCCAAATCAGATCACCCTCAATCAATTGACACAAATAAATTCGATCACTCAAAACTTCATCTATAGTAGCTTCTGCCCATGTTTTTTATTTGGATTACGATAATCTCAACACATTACTCTCTCACCTTTTTTGAATTGTTCCTGTCTTCTGCCTCTATATCTTTCAAAAAATTTCTTTCGAATGTCATATCATTGTCAACCCACAAATCAAATCTATTTTTAGTCTTATGCTTGAATACAAGGTAACAAAGTGTCATTCCGGTTTTAATGTGAACAGAGTTACGGTAATGGAATAAGTACCTAATCATTAAAGTCTTAAACGAAACATTATTATTAGTTTCGTCCTTCAATGCCTTGTATAGAACATTCTTGAAACTTTTTACTGAATTTTATGCAAAACCGTTGGTCGCAGGATGAATGGTGGAGATGTTGAGTGTTGAATTCCGTTACCAGTAAAAACCTAGAAAACTCATCTGCACATAATTGCGAGCCATTATCAGTTACAACCACCCTGGGAAGACCAAATCTTGCAGAGCATTCCCTAAATGTCTCGATAGTTGAACTAGGGTTGACTTCATTATAAATGCCTCCGGCCACTTTTAATAAGTGTCAGATGCTAAAAGACTCATTTTACCTTGTTTCAGCCTTAAGAAACCGGCATGCACCCTTTCATAAAAATATGCATATTTTTCACTAGGGATCAATGCCGCACGGCTTGGTTCCGGTCTAGACATTGCACAAACTCTACAGTTATTGACTGATTTTTCTATCTCTCCATTGAGCGATGGCCACCACAAATAGGACCTGGCGTTATCCTTCATTTTGCTAATTCTCTCATGAGTATTATGTAACATTCAATAATTGTGAACGTGATTTAGTTGGCACAACTACGCGGTACCTCACATAATTATTTCATGATCAATAAAAAGTTCAGCCTTAGCAAAAACGGTTTAAAAATGTTATCCACGTTCCTCCAGGAAAACCATACCTAATGAAGATGAAAAATTTTCCTTAAACCTGATC